CCCACACGCGGGTACACACTCATGACACCACAACTTCCTCTATGTCGCCATGCTGATGATCACACACAACACCAAACAGCAGTCAAACATTATTCAATTATGTAAATTTGATGAGTGCTTTTCTCATAGATAAATAAATATGTACCTCATATTTTGCGTCATCTTTAGGATTTTGCTGGCATTTCGAGTGAACACTTAAATTTATGCGTCGTGCAAATCAAGAACAGCATGAAGACATGGTCAGTTTACAACCTTATCCCAGTCATGGTCATTTTAAGAACAATATGTAAACAAAATTGAAAAGGTTATGCAAAAACAAGTCTAGTTTACTCAAAATAACTAATCACATTTACTCAGAAAATGCTAATAAACTCAAAGATCTCTGGTGTTCAGTGATCAAAAAACACTCAGTAAAAATAACCCAACAGCATGTGCAGGACTGGCACCTAATCAGGCCTTTTGTTCTCAATCACCCCTTGATCCCGACTGAATTATAGAATTAAGAATGTGCCAAGTACAAGATCAACATTAAATAAAACGCTGACCTTCCAATTTTGTGTAAAACTTACTCTAGCCAATCAAAGTGTCATTTTTCTGATAGTATTTTGATTTTTCATATTTGATTAGACAAAAAAATCACAAAAGAAAAGATTTTTAGACGATAAGTCAGTTAATTGGCAATTAACAGAAAAAAATCATGTTTTAGAGGATTGACAAAAGTTGAGTCTACAAAAGTTCGTTTAATTACTAGGAAATACCCATTACCCCCAAAACAGAGCTTGTAGTTTTTGATACGAGTTTGATAAGGATTTTTCAAAATTTCAAGTTGTAAAAGATGCGATAAATGCCAGTCCTACATATACATTTTAATTGACAAAAGACGCAAAAGGAAACACTTCCTACTATTCACCGTTTCTCTTTGTGAACAGTTCCGCTATGTAATGAAGGTAAAAGTTAATTGTCCTTTTTTAACAACAAAAACTTATCAATTTCGAAAGGAAAAACTAACTCGACCCCTGGTTTGATTTTCTGAAAACAAAAACATCTTTACCCCCTCCCAGCAATAAAACTATGGGTCTATCACTGATCAGACATACTACTAGTATATCAAAACACCGGGATCCAAAAGAAGTTTATTCTTACCATGCGTCATAACCGCATATTCACAATTCTAGAAAGACCCTATAAAGACGTTTTAATACGTGTGGGCAATTCTGCCAAAACTTGAGCACATTTTACAATTTTATACTGCCGTTAATTCTTAATTGCATAATTTGGATCACAACGTTTACAATTTATTGTAGATTTTTTCATTGAACCCATAATAAAATGCCTGTATGCATTTTACGTAATGAAGTTGCGACTATTTTTTTCTAAAGTTAGCTTCATTAAAATCAATATTTGTATCCAATTTAATATGAATAAACGTGCATTTTCGTGTCTTCTTACCTAGTTGCCCACACACAGGGCCGTAGCCTCCGGGGGGGGGGGNCTGCATATTTGCCCACATAGATAATTTTATCATAAAAACAGAAAACCGGCCGTACAATCACGCTGCTCTGTATACCAACTATTACAAAAGATAATGATGTTTGGACTTTATATAAAGATGTTTGGACTTTATATATTTGCGGAATTAAAAGTAGATAAATGTTAACATTTTACAGAAAGCCTAGTTTTGATAAAGATAACTCTGGATTTTGTAAATGCGGGGATCAGGGTTACAATGTAGTAATATAAAATTGTTTCAGTTCCGTAGGATAACATAAAACACTGGTCAATGACAATTAACATGTTGTTTATAGGGCACAAGGATGCAGAAAGTGTTTGGTTTTTGTCTTGTTTTATTTATGCATTATATTGCTTATTTTGTGAGTAGTCTGACATAAATTCAGCATTTTATTGCTACATGTGCTTATTAAAACCACTTCGCTTTTATAGACAGAAAAAGAATGATTTTACCAATTACTTGATTCCAATTCAGCCACTTAATTAATTTTGTAATCCAAACACTAGAATTTTAGCTCTATTTCTTTTAAAATCAGATACTTTGTTCGAGCATTTTATTCCCGATTGTAAAATCAAGGATGGAATGAAATTGAATCATGAAAATTGAAGTCAAGGGAGGTCGACAGTGTCTAGCAAATGTACGTTTGCTTTCCTGGTCGAGGTTAGTTCTCTAGAAAACCACTGGTTTGTTGTCAGTTTACTTTAATAAACAGGATAATTTTGTACAAACCGCTGTCGTAAGATAAAAAAAGGCACCCATTGGGAGCTGAGAATGCACCGATAGTTACCTGCTTTGTCGCCTTGCTTTGTTTAAGACGTAATAACGCGTTCAGACCTTTGGACGGCTGGGATAATCTTTTCACTTCTTTATGAGCAAATACTTTTTTTCTGGAAAAGGCAACATAAAAAGTTATTTAACTTTTCAAGCTCATTTCGGCATTCATGTCAATGAAATATACCCAAGAACAATTACCCCTGAAGTGGGAAATGCATACTTTTTGACAAAATATCGTCAACATAAACCGATCAGTGTTGCCTTATGTCATCTATACAGTACTTACAACAAACTATATCAGTTCTCAGTGCCAAAATTTCAGTTTACGTGTGGAAATTGTGACAATGTGGCATATAAAGCTTCTTCCTCTTCCTCCTGACCTTGGCCCTTTCTGAATACCTCTCACCAAATGCTCACCTGGTTACATAACAGTATCACTGTCGTGGGATTGTGTTAGAGAAGACACATTGTTGTTTTCCCTCAATCTAAAACGCTACCATCAGGTTATTATACAAACAAGCCATTTTGTTTTGCCTATAGACTTTCATCCCAAATGAATGAGGTTATTTCCAATTAAAACATGAATGAGACTGTTTTAAAACTAGAAGAATTACAAGGCACAAAACCATAGACATAAATATTTTGCACTCTGAACTTGACCAAACGATTACCAAATCAACAGAGTGCCTAGGAGGCAGAATATAAGGCGCCATTCAGAATATATGATCCCAGTACTATCTGATCCGCCGACTAAATATGGCCGACCACACTTCAAAGGTTCTAGAGATGTCGCTGATTCCTAATGACCTCCCCGCCTCTACAAGCACCATGAAATGGATCAAATCTTGGCTCCGAGGTTTAATTGCTAGGCTCCTGCAGCGACGGCGCATGTGGAGGCGGGGAGACCATCCAGAAACAGCGGCACCTCTTTTGAAGTGTGGTCGGCCATATTAACTGAAGTCAGCGGATCAGTTAGTACTCGAATCATCTGTTTTGAATGGGGCCTTAGTGAGGAGTGAGGTTAACCACTGAGAAAGTNCCCCCTCCCACACCCTCCCTCCTCGGGGGCTTCGCCCCCTTGTTTCCGCTTACTGCCCCCCCTGGCATTTTGCTCAGGCTACGGCCCTGTCCTCCAAATTCGTGGTTTGATATTTTGATATGAAAACCCAAAATTTAAAGTTGTTTTGCTAAAACAGAAGTAGAAGCAGTCTACAAGCGTCTGTCTCGGTAGATCTTAGTTATTTTATTTATATGTAAAATTTGGCTATGGCGTATTGTCAGATCAATTTTACTTCTAGGTTCAAGTCAGAAGATCATATATTAATGCTGATTTCTCTTCAAAAACGAGCTAAAAATAGGTATGCCACCTGCCAAAATTAGTTCTTGAACAAAGTAACCATGGTAGATCGTAATTCATTATTTAAGTTACATGTAAAATATGGCCATAATTTATTGTCAGATCAGTTTTACTTCCAGGTTTAAGTAAGAAGATCATATAATATTGGTAATTTCTATTAAACTAGACAGCAAAGCTGGCAAATATACAGACACCATACAGGAAACAAAGCAGCAAAGCTGACAAACGTTCAGACACTACACAGAAAAAAAAGTGCACCAAATAATATTTTGGCCAATTTTGATGCACTGCTACATAATACTTAAAAGCAGCATAATCACTCTTACCCTCTTACATTATTTACTACAGGTAACAGGGACATTGAAAAGCTACCAAATGATTCAGTTCCATGGGATATAAAAGCCACTGAAAATGCTAATATGTGAAAAATAAAAAAATTCACACAAAAAAATAATAATTACCATAAATGTAAACAGATCTTGGCTATTTTCAAAGTAACCTGGCTCTTTACCAAACAAAGCCACTCAGTACATCTAGAGTAAAACAAAAATACAGTTCGGCAGTTATGGGGCAAACATCACAAAAATTGTGCAAAAAATTTTAAAAAAAGTAGAACCATAAATGTAAACCAATCATGCTGATTTTCCAAACCAACCTGTCTCTTTACCAAACAAAGCCACTCAGTGAAATAAAAGTAAAACAAAAATACGCTTCAAGAATTATGGGTTGAATGCCACATAAACTGTGCAAAAAAAAAAAAAAACAGAATAATTATCATAAATGTAAACCAACCATGGGGATTTTCAAAAGCAACCTGCCTCTTTACCAAAAAAGGCACTCGGTTAATTAAAAGTAAAACAAAAATACAGTTTGAAAGTTATGGGGTGAACTTCAGCAACAACGACGGCACAAACAAACAGACCAATCAGAATATATACAGACATTTACAGTGTCTGTATATAAAAATGAGCTGCAAAAATAGATAGACAATGCCACCTGCCAAAATTAGCCCTTGACTACACCTTACTAATGTATGTATCGTCTGTCATAGTAGATCTTAGGTATTAAATTTTTATGTAAAATATGCTTATGACTTGTCAGATGACAATTACTGCTATGTTTATCAGGTACTTGATTGTTACTACAATGTTACACAAACAAAGAACATTCCAAGATTGAAAAAATGGTTAATTTACAAAGATTTATTGTGAAACACAGTACAAAAACAATGTCTATTCATTAGAATTACATGTAGTTGGAATGAACAATATATGCAATTTACAATTAAATTGAACACAAGCAATCATAGGGTACAAACAGATAACATCCAATTAATATCAAACAAATTTGAAAACCTACTGATGCAAACTGCCTTTCCCACCTGCTAGTGTAAACTAAGTAAGATCAAAGGAAATGTTTCAGTCCTTTGATACTAGTGGTTTGTTATATTCAGTCTTTGTTTATGCTGTCCTTGGTACAGTGATCAGTCTCAAAAGATTTCTAAACAGCAGTGGTTTATAGTTTATATCCAACACCTCAAATATATTGTCCATAATATCCTTTGCACTGGTATGATTAATAAAAAGTATTCAAATCTATTTCATAAACAAATTCCTTTCGACATTTACACTTCATCAAGGTCATAAATATACAGATAAGCATGTGCTGAATTGGATATATTTGCAGTAATTGTATCAATTATAGCTAGTATATGATAGGCCTCTATGATAGGCCTCTAAGCAGATATAAAGTAGATACTGGAACCACAATGCAAATGGCTGAATGCACATATTACTGTTCAGAAGACATATCTTACAAAGTTTGACTTTAACACTGATCCAAACTGTCTGCCACCCAGCCTTAAGAAAGTTATTTCTTCAGAACTTTCATTCCACTTTCTAATTGAAATACTACTACATTCTTTCCTTTCTTTGCCTCATACTATCTCTTGTACTTTGCTTGAGACTTTTCAACTTTCTTCTTGTACTGAAAATATATAGTTTATAGAAATTGAATTAAATAGGGTATGTTTCAGTATAAATGGGAGAAGCAAAGTTCAAGTTTTTGCCATAAAAACTTATACTGTGCACAAAGCCAGCAGGATAAATGAAGTTAGCCCCAGAAATTACAATACTGCACCTGCTGCCATCACTATTCTGTTGACACATTTTTACAAATTTTTCTAAATGTTGCAATATTTTTATGAACAGATTACGTGTGACATCTTTTTTTCTATAGAACTTGTGTGAAACCAAATATTGCTCAATGTAAGGGGCTACTCTTTAATCTTGCATGGACCAAAATAAAATAAAAAAAAAACTTGAGAAATTAATAGCATATTCAGAGGAAGTTGAACATGTAAGTCCCACATGCATATCTTAGCGTGTAACTCAGTAAGTTGCTGGTGTTGGAATTCCATCTGCACATTACAGTCTTCTTTGCTGGGCATTGTCACTTCTTTCTCTATGTACCTCAACTGCAAAATCAGAAATTAATGATCAAAAATGAACAAAATCAATTATGTTTATTAATTAATCCACATCTTAAGGTGCCAATACACTCATTATTGTTTTGATGAAATATAAGAATTTCATTTGTACATAATATGCCAGCAATGCAATGGTAGACAAGATCAAGAATCATCATCCCTATGATCATAAAAGCAAAATGCATTTTATATTTAAGGGGCCTTGGGCTGTTTTTTATGCCAAAATATAATCAACAGTCCTTAAAGTCTGGCCAGAATATACACCTAAAAATGCTATTTTTTAGAGTATAAAATATTAGGAGTAAATTACCCTTATAAACCCCCATATTCCCAAAGTAATTACTTTTGGGTCTGCTATCTTAATATGCCTTGTTATCATGCCATGATTTGAACATAGCTCAGGCCTTAGTCTGCTCAAATGATGTTTTGGAACAAATATAGGACACCAACAAGCTCACAAGGACAGTGTTCTTGCATAATGCATCTGTATGCATACTATTTATTTACCTTGCATGGCAGCCGAGCCTCCCTGTTGAACATCAGGAAAAAAGAACAGTATCCAGTGGCGCAGTTTTGTGCTGTACGATATGCAAAGGTCACTGATCCAGATATACCTTTCACAGTCATTCTACCTCTCATTAGTGACTTTTGAGAGTGACACTTTGAGTGTTTGGTAAAACCGCTCATCTAACTCATTTGTCTGTGGGTGGTGCACAGCTATAATCTTGTGTTTGATTCCCCACTCTTTCAGAAGGTCATCTAACAGCTACAGAAATAAAATATTTGATGTTAAAATGGGTAAATATGTATTTCGTCAATTCAATTTTTGCACTGGGAGACGTTATGCACATCTTTCCAAATATTTGCTTCTATTGATGCAAAGAGTAAGACTTTTCATGGACAATTGCTGCCCTCCTTGAAAGTTGTTCAGTCCACTCCATGGTTATAGGGATATCATAACTCAATAAGACAATTTAATAGTGTGGCACTCCTAGTATGAAAAGTTATAACTCTGAGATCTTACATGTCCATCTCACCTCAGCCTTGCAAGCTTCAGACATCTGTCTCCGTCTGACTGCTTTATTCCATGTACACATCACTAATAGTCACTTTTGTATTGCATGTACTGACCCTATTACCAGTACACACACTTTGCTCATCCCTTGGTCCACAGTTATGCAAGATTCTCCCTGCTGTCCATGCCGTTACTGGGTGCGACTCTACTTCTTCCTTCTTTGGAATTGGCAAGAAAGGAGTCTTGAAGGTAATTCAAAGGAAAGGACCAGGGAGTTTCCAAGACCTTGAAAGGATTGGAAAATTCCCAGAAGATGGTGCCATTGATGCAGCACGAAAATTGGTGGCTCTTCTATATGATCCAGGAGAGAAGGACATATCATCACACAAGGATCTTAATCAACTACGCTTTAAAATTGCCAACAGGAAAGACCAGGCAATTGCCAAACTGCCTCCATGTGAAGCCAGTTTCATTGAACATGCGAGGAGAGCTCATTGGCAAACAAAGATCTGGTGCAACTCGCATGTCGCAAATCCACATCTTGGATCTCCACTTCAGCATGGGTGGGAAAGGGAAGACGACAAGTTAGTACCTGTTTACTTTAAAGGGATAATGGCGTCTGAATTGCTCAGGGAAATGGTATGCTCTTGTACTCTCAGGAGCAACTGTAACAACTGTTCATGTTATCACAGTGGCCTTCCATGTACAGAAATCTGTCCATGCCAAGGTAGTGACGTCTGCCAGAATCCATATTCCCTGGAGACATGTAACGATATTGATGATGATGATGATTTTGATGAAAGTGTATGAATGACAGGTCACTCATGAGAGGGTATCTGTGTATTCTTGAGTGTGTGTAATATACTTTTTTTTTTTTATCAGAATGCATGTACAGAAGTTGATAAAGAACACACTGAGAGCATGAGTGCCCTTGTTTCTAGGGGTGTGTGAGTATATAGAAAGTGATACTCAGTTTGCGATGGGTAACACAGGCACAAGCATTTTAAGGTGTGTGTGTGAGTGTATATGGGCATTTGTAATGTACAGAGATGAAATTTTGAGGTAATAAATGCTAAAAATAATGTATTGATGTTTTTCTTTCTCTGTTGAGAAGTCAACTTAATAAATGTTGACCAAAGAAATGCAACATGGATTTGCAGTTGGGTATATGTATTGATGCACTTCCAATCATTCATAATATGTATATCTTTGTCCAGATATTGGTATTGATGTAATATGTGTATCTCTCTATGAATGCATGTTATTATCTTTTTAAACAGTTCAAAGTAAAGAATGAAAATGGTGTATGCTGTAAAGAAATGCTATAAGAAATGAGATGCATGCATTTGTTGTAACTAAGTTTTTTGCATTTAATGATTGATATTTCTAAGATGAATAAAGGATAAAATGCGATCAATATCTGTAGTTCTTGATAATAATAATAATGTTTAATATGGCACACATCCTAGAATTAGCAAATGCATCAAATTTGACAGATCAAAAAATATAAATAATTTTTTGTCTAAATATTTGCAGATTTTCTGGAATATCTTTTATCGTGACAATAGATGCAAAGGTTTACAACATATATCACACTGGTAACTTTAACATGCATTAGTGTATATATATATATATATATATATATATATATATATATATATATATATATTAAAAACCCAATTTTTTTATTGTAAGTGAACAGTTGTAGTAATATAACGTAGCCTTTCATTATTTTTTATTCATAACCACATATATAAGAATACTTTGCGAATAATTTCATCCTTTTAGATGTGAACAATCCAAATTAGTAAAAAAAAAACACACCATAAGGCGGACATTTTGATAATGGTGGCCATCTTGAAGAGGTTGTGTGAGGCATCATGTAGTATTTAACATCTAGCACAAACTTGTGTGTGAGCTAGGTAATAAAAATGATTTATTTAATAATTAAAGTGAAGCAAAGCCCACTTCATGGAAATTTGCATTTCAGGGCGGCCATGTTGAATATTTAAAATTGACTGCTTTAACCTCATCCAAATTTAACCAAATACCATATAAAAATGATAATATGTCTACTTTGTATAATCCACACCAAAATAACTATGTGGACATTACAATTTTGATTTTATATGTAAAGATTGGGAACAAAAAGAGAAAATTTGACCAATTTTTCATGAACAACGGCGGCCATCTTGAAAACGGCGGCCATCTTGAAATTCTGGCATGGTGTTTTTTTAGCCCATAAGCTCCCTCATCACAAAACATGTAAAGGCCATATGACACACAATGTTTTAGTTATGTTTATCAATGATTTGTATTCTTAGAAAAAATGCAAAAAAACAGGCGGCCATCTTGGATTTTGTCCGTTTCCATGGTTACGCAGGCAATTGCCATTTCCACATCATGGCTAACTTTGACCAGCAGACTCTGAGCTTTCAAATGATATATAATTCAGGTCTGTGTATAAAGGGGACACTAAATCTGAAAATTTTGGCCTTCTGCCGCTCACCTATATGTAAACCATTAGCATATATACATAGTTCTAAAGTATCCCATTGTATAGAGACCACAATAAAGGAGGGCCTTCCATAGCCCTTCAGTAGTAGTAATAGGAGGAGCAGTAGTAGTAGCTGTAGCAGTTGTAGGAGCAGTGACGCTGAAATAAAAATCTGGGAGAAACTAAAGGAGTGTTGTGTTCTTCACTGGCTGTGAAAGGGATATAAAAAAATGGGCAATTCCAAAGAATTGCCCATGTATGAAAATTATATTTAAAAACATAATCCTTAGTCATTTTCTACTGTATTAAACAGTTTACATTGATAATAAAAATGGTTATAATTGAGCAGAGTAGGCTTCCAATATTACACATGCTCTAAACTGATTAGTACAGAAATAGATATCACTGGTAATCAGTTACACATTCACAGGCATGCCAATAAAATTGAAGCCAATATTCACCGTAAAACCTTTATCATATTTGGCATAAATAAAGGGGTGGTGATTGTATCCTTTCCAGTTTCCAATTTATGCCAAAGACTTACTAATTCTTAATTCATATTACAAATTTTGAGACATTTAACTCATTACAAAATTCCGATCCCTGGTCAGTCAGCAATTTTTTTGGGGCACCCATTCTGAGAAAAAAAGAAAACATCACTTTAACTTTACCACATAAATATAGGTTAAACAACAAACATTTTGTATGAAGCATATATTTGTCTAGCGACAGGTGTGGCAGGTATTGAATTAATTAAGTTTAATACCACCTATTAAACTAATTTCATTATTACCATCTGTACTACAGTATCTTCCACAGATTTCCAATCCATGAGACAAATATGTGATTCATCCAAAAAATTTCCAACCTATTTAATGTTTTCACACATTTTCTTCAACCTAACAATATAACATATGCACAGAGCTATTCATTTTCAAAAAAAGCATGTGTTATTTAGGATGGAGTAAACAGACACTTGTCACTTGCAAGAATGTCAACGGCATAGTGATACAAATTACTTTTAAATACATAGTCTTTCAAATGAATTATATTTGACTTACAATTATAAATGTATAATTATTTACTGCTTTCACAATGAATCCTCCAGATTACATTTCAGTGAAATGAACATAACTGTCAACTATAGAGGAAAGGACCTTGGCAACACTTGCTGCATTATTAGAAAGAATTGGGAATGTCTCTGTCCACTTAGTGTAGTAGTCCGACAGAGTGAGGATGTATCTATTGCCATTCTCTGAAAACAACACAGGGCCTATCAGGTCAATTAAGATTAACAACTTTAATAATATAATAACTTTTAGAATCTGAGGTAAGCTGATCAGTTGAATGTGTCTAATGAAAAGTGTTTTTTGAGACAATATATTTGAGAAAACTGAAAATTACATTAAAAAGACTGGCAAATCGAATTGCTTAAAATATTTAAACATTAATAATTTTGTCAAATCTTGTCAGATATTTCTGAAATTTGTACAAATAATGCTTAGCAACAGTAAAAATCTGTAATGAACTGATCACTTGTCTGTGTCTAATGAAAAGTATTTTCTTTGGATGATATATTTGAGAAATCTAATAATTATATAAAGATTATTTATTCATTCACAAATGGCTAGGCAACATAATACTAACTAGAGAAATGGTAATGCACTAACTGTATTGTATGGTCATTAGTATATCATATTGTATAAGGTCATGACAATCTATGTACCAGTACAGAAATAAATTGAATTGAATTGAATAATTACACTGAAAACACTGTGACTTAAAATAGTTAAACATTAATAATTTTGACAAATCTTGTCCAGTGTTTCTGAAATCTGTACAAATGATGCTTAACAATAATAAAAATCTGTGGTAAGCTGATCAGTTATGAGTCTTTTTTTTAAGTGTCAAGTGTATGGGAAATTGATCAACAGAAGAGTGAGAATTAACCAAAACAAATATTTCAATATTGCAATGTATTATTTACTCTGAATGTAAACAGCAAATGTGATGATTTGAGGTTGTGACTTAATTAAAATAGTTAAACGTTAATAAATTTNGTTGTTATATTCAGTCTCTGTTTATGCTGTCCTTGGTACAGTGATCAGTCTCAAAAGATTTCCAAACAGCAGTGGTTTATAGTTTATATCCAACACCTCAAACATATTATCCATAATATCCTTTGCACTGGCATGATTAATAAAGAGTATTCAAATCCATTCCATAAATAAATTTCTTGTGACATTTACACTTCATCAAGGTCATAAATATACAGAAAAGCATGTGCTGAATTGGATATATTTGCAGTAATTGTATCAATAATAG